ATCAACGAAGAGACCAGCCTTCACCTTCGTGATCTTGATGCCAGGCAGGACGCACTGGAGAAGGCTCATCGAGATATGCGATCTCAGCTCGCACAGATGCAGGAGATTGTCCACCAGTGCGAGAAGGCGGCGTCACCCGAGCTGGATGTCACCAGCAACGTCGCCTTCACTCGCGAGCCGAATCACACCATCTTCGTGGCCACCACCAAGGAGCCGGTGGCGACGGCTGCTATACGCGAGTCAGTGGCCTCCTGGCTGGCTGAGAGCGGCTTCACGGACGAGCAATGGAAGATTGAGGGCGAGAGTCCAGGCCGCCGTTTCATCATTCAGTTCCTGGGTGCGGAAGGTCTCGCTGCGAGGCACGTGCACCATGCGTTCAAGCATCTCAAGCTGGCCAGTGGCGAGTGGCGCAGGTTTGACGCTGCCACCCCCGCGGGGGCCCGCTCGGCTGTCTTCGTGGGCCTTGACAAAAGCCCGCAGATGGTACGGCGCGAGATCGAGACAAAGAAGCTGCTGGAGATCGTCAAGGAGTCGTGTGTGGGCAGATGGAGAGCGCATCGCGCTCAGGGTGTCATCTACTGGGGCTCCTCGCCAGTCATCAAGGTCCTCGTTCCTGAGTCGCCGTCAGAGGCTACTGCGCTCCAGTGGAACTACCGCATGGTCCTCGAGACGGGTATTGACAAGCAGAGCGTTGCGGAGGCGTTCGCGGAGCGCTTCGGCGCGTCTGAGCGCATCCAGTGGGCTATTTAGCAAGCGACTGGCATGCTGGCGCCCTGTGCCCGCGACCTCGGGCGCGTCAGGATCGAGGATTCCCCCAGCGGTGTTCGGCACCTGGAATGCTCGCGCTCTACTTCATCATGACCGTGCCGCGGGTGGCATCCGCGAGCTCAAGCTACGCTATTTGGCACACATGTTGAGGCGTGGGGTGGTGATGGCGGTCCAGGAAGTCCATGCCACGCGTGCTGAGCTCCATCAGGCTCTGCGTCGGTTGCACGTCTCTTGCCAGGTATTCGAGTCCATACCACGCGTGGATGCTGGTGGCGTCTGCATCATCGTGCCGTGCGATCCCTTGGTTCTGCAGCGGGCGCGCTTTCGTCCTGAGGTGATTGTACCTGGCCGTATTCTGAGGCTGAGGATTTCTGCGATCGCCGCTGATGGCAATTCTTCTTGCAGCACAGTGATTTACAATGTGCACAACTTTGGTTTAAGCGATGAGGACCGCGTGATATTTCGAAGAAAGCTCTTCTCCGATCTCACAATGGCAGACATGGCACCCGAGAAGGTCACCGTTCTATTGCTTGGAGACTTCAATCTGTATAAGCAAGCACCCATGTACCCGCGTGCTCCTGAGATAGACAAGAGGCGTAGTCAAGGGGATGTTGCGGTGCGTGCTCATGACGCCTTCTGGCAGGGTGTGTTTAGCCGCATGATGGAGCTGGACAATGAGCTGCCCACGCATTACGTCGCAAATGAGTGGCAGCCCCAGCTCACCCAGATCGATCGAGTGTTCGTATCTATGCCGAGCTGGGCTGCCCTGCAGCAGCACTTCGTTGCGCTCACGGAGGATAAGCCAGAAGACTTGCACGAGAGAGGCATAAGTGACCATGTTCCAGTCGTGATCTCGGTATCGGCCCGTCAGGTGGCGCCCGCCGAGGAGCAGAGGATCCCCTCCCACTTCTTCAAGGATCCTGAGTTCGCTGCGCAGTACGAGAGGCTGCGCGTGCTCGTCGATTGGTCCAAGCTCGGGGTGTATGCGGCGAGGCGGCGGCACAAGGAGCTGATGAGGGAGGCTGCGAAGTACGTGAGGGATCTGCGATGCCGCAACCCGAAAGGCGAGACGAAGCTGATGGTTTTTCGCTCGATGTCTCGAGCGGTCTGGCGGGATGATGTCGAGTTGGGACAGAGGCTTCTCTTGACGTGTGAGATCGCGCCGACGTACATCTCGGTCTCGAGCGTCCAGGTCTCACTGATCCACCCGCCGTCGTTCGCTAGGGACTTCGCTGAGGCCCAGCGCTTGCACTTCGAGGCTCGAGCGGCTGCCCTCTCGGAGCAGGAGGCGAAGGCGTTCGACCCCAGATCGTTTAAGATGATGAATGCTGCCCGGCGCAAGCTGCGCAGGCGGGAGGCCTTGTGGTCGCCCTTCAATCGCACGCTTAAGTTGCAGGGCATCAAGGTGCCTGACGACGAGGGACACAAGGTGCTGACGGACCAGGTCGACATGGTCGAGGCCCTCCGCGACCACTGGGCTCCGATCTTCCAGGTCAAGCCGAAGGTTCCCAACTGGCAGGTCCTCGCGGACAGGTACATCAAAGAGCACGCGCCACTGCTGGAGGTGGCCGACCTGCTCCCCCCTGATCGGCGGGCGTTGTTGCGGGCTGCTGCTCGTGCCAAGGAGTCGGCGCCTGGGCCTGACGGTCTGCCGCATGCTGCCTGGCGTGCTTGCCCCGCAGCGCTTGCTGCGCTGGAGGACGTGGTCCTGGAGATTGCGTCTGGCAGGCCGCCGCCCATCGACTGGAACGACCACCTGCTCGCCTTCCTCCCGAAGGGTTCGTATGAGGAAGATCTTGTGGAAGGCGCTTTTCGCACGCCGTGCACCACGCGGGCGATTGCGCTCAAGAATGCGGACTGCAAGCTGGTGGCGTCCGCGGTGAATGCGCGGATCAAGGGCCCCATTGAGAAGGCATCGCCTGCCCCCCAGCGGGGCTTCCTGCAGGGCCGCAACTTCCTGGACAACATCTGCCTGCTGGATGCCACTGCGCGGGCTGCGGGGCTGCAGGAGTCGGGCAAGCCCATCATGGCCCTGTTCGACTTTGGCGACGCGTTCCCGTCTCTGATGACCGAATGGATGCTGCTCATGCTGGTCCGCTCGGGGTTCGTCGGAGGCGTTCGGTTTGTGCTGGAGGCGCTCTACTGGCTTCCCACGGCGTACGTGGAGCTCGCGGGCGCGATGGTGCGGTTCGTTTGCGTCTCGAGCGGGCTCGCACAGGGATGTCCGTCTTCTGGGAGTCTTTGGGCCATTGCAATGAACCCGTTCATTCATCACATGATGCAGTACACGGACCGAGACGCCAGTCGCCTCTCCGCCATCGGGGTTTGTGCTGACGACGTCGGGGTGGTGCTGCGATCGCGCCACTTGCTCCGTGGGATGTGGCGGGCCTTCGCTGCTGCGCGGGCGCTCGCGAGCTTGCACCTGGAACTCCACAAATGCGTGCTGATCCCGCTGGAGGCTAAGTTCTCCGACGAGCTCGTCGCAGATCTCAGAGGATGGCTGGCCGAAGCTCTGTGCGAGTGGAGCGGCATGCAGGTGCGCGACCAGGCGGAGTACCTGGGCTTCGTTGTCGGCCCTGGTGCGACACAGCGGGACATCTGGAGGAAGGCGGCTGCAAAGTGGCTCTCCCGCGTCGTGGACATTGCGATGAGTGGTGCGGCCCCGTCGCTAGCTGCTCGGCTTTACAATCGTCGTGCTCTGCCTGTTTTAGGATATCTTCAACAGCTGGCGGCCACCCCGAAGTTGTTGCTGGCCAAAGAAGGGTGGGCGGCCGCCAAGCTGTGGCACATGCCCCCACAGGCGCTGGGCAGGCATGACTTCCTGGCCTTAGGTGCGTGGGCGCCTGGCCTTCGCATCCGCTCACTGCTGGCCACGGGCTGTGCGGCGGCCATGCGATCGGCCCTCTCCACGGTGAGCAACTGGAAGGAGCTGCACGCATGGCTGCAGGCACAGGTCCAGGACCACGGGAGTCTTTGGATAATTGGCAGCGGCACTTTGTCGCCGCCGTTTTGGCAGACCACGCCCATCGTACAGTTCCTGGCGTCGGCGCAGGAGGATTTTGTGAATGATCGGGCGCTCGCGCGTCCTGCTGCCGCTGCGAGGATGGCACTCGTCAGTGCATGCCGCGACGCAGCTGAGCGGGGCGTGCGGGTGCACACGCAGAAAGCATTGTACTCTTCTTTGCACGCCTCGCTCCATCCTGACCTCCTCCACCTCCTGATTCAGCGACGCTTGAAGGCATGGGGACTCGAGGTTGAAGGCCGCGTCGGGTGTCCCAGGGCCTGCCGTTCCCACGTGGTGTCATGTAAAGCGCGGTGGGCCGGCCTGAGAGATGCGATTTCGCGCCTGGCTCCGTCGTGGCAGAGTGCGATTCTTAAGACAGTCTCAGGCGCTTGGCTCACCTCGGGCCGCCTTCACGTGCAGACGGGCATCGGCGAGTGTCGCTTTCGGTGCAGGGAACCGCCTCTGGTAGCTGCACCCGACACCTTTTCGCACTATTTGGACTGTAATGTTCTATGGTCGATTGCCTACCCACCTCAGGCCGAGATTCCGAGTTGTGTAGTCTGTCGTCTTGGCCTAGGTGGATCACCCAGCCCATCCACTATTGAGGCTGTGGTCACTGCATATCATATTTATAACTCTGCCAGAGTTTTGTGCCCGCCGCCCAACCCCTCTGAGGAAGCTTGGGAAGGCCACTTGTACGAATTGCGGCGTGCTGCATGCGCACTCGTCGAGCTCACAAGAACTCGAGAGGCTCCGTAGGGCTCGTTAGGGCTCGCTGGTGACCTCTGAGGACCCCCTTTGAGTACGTGCGACATACACATACACATACACATACACATACACATATTCATACATATACACATACACATACACATACACGTACGCATGCACATACACATACACATACACATACACATGCACACGTATACATACACATGCACACACACACATCCATACAATCATACATACATACATATAGTCATGCATGCATGCATACATACATACAGACAGACATACATACATACATGCATACTTGCATACATACATACACACATGCATACATATATGCATGCATGCATGCATGCATGCATGCATGCATGCATGAATGCTCTCATACATGTGTGCATATATATATATATGTTTATGTGTTTATATATATACGTGTATATATAGTGTAAGTTCACACGTGGAAGGACCAGCATCTGCAGTGAACAGCGGCGGAGGCAAGGGCCCCGGCCCCCGCGCAGTTGCAGCGCCTGGGACGACGGCAGGCACCCGAACTGCACCGGGCGGGGAGGGGCACTTTTTCGGCGGCCCGCCCAGGTGAAAATCTAGGCCCGCCTCCTACATGGGGTCGAAGTAGAATGGGTCGAAGGATCGCGCCGCATCGCTGATGCATGGGCAATGCGGCTCGATGTGGAGCCCGATTTTCTCAACGCCGACGGCGCCGATGCGTCGCCGACGTCGGCGATGCATCGCCAATGCATCACCGATGCGGTTCGATCCTGCGACCCCACCTACTCGGACCCCACCAGGGAGGCCTCTAGGGACGGCAGAGGTGGGCGGCCTTCCCAGAAGCCTCCGCGCCTTCTGGGAGGCCGCCTGAGCCTCCGAATCCACAGGCGGCTTCTCAGAGGGTGTGGAAGGCTTCGGGGCAGCGCCGCCGCCTGCTGGGCAGGCTGGCTCTCTCACTGTCTCTCCCTCCCCCCACCCTGGGCGGGCCGGTGCGGCACCGTGTGCGAGTGGCCCTTCGCCCGAGTGGCGCTTGGCGCGGGCTCTCACAGGGCACCCGAGCGCATGCCCTGCCTGCGCGCTCGGAGTCGGCCCCTTGAAGCCGCGCACCAAGAAGCACCCTGCCTGGGGTCACACTTGCCCCTCCTCCTGCTGCTCTTCCTCCTCCTCCTCCTCCTCTTCCTCCTCCTCCAACTCCTCCTCCTCCAACTCCTCCTCCTCCTCCGCCTCCTCCTCCCCCTCCTCCCCTCCTCCTCCTCCTCCTCCTCCTCCTCTCCTCCTCCTTCTCCTGCTCCTCCTCCTCCTCCTCCTCCTCCTCCGCCTCCGCCTCCTGCTCCTCCTCCGCTCCTCCTCCGCCTCCTCCTCCTCCTCCTCCTCCTCCTCCTCCCCCTCCCCTCCCTCTTTCCTCCTCCGCCTCCTCCTCATATTCCTCCAACTCCTCCGCCTCCTCCTCCTCCTCCTCCTCCTCCTCCTTCTTCTCCTTCTCCTCCCCCTCCTCCTCCTCCTCCTCCTCCTCCTCCTCCTCGTCGTCCCCCTCCTCCTCCTCCTCCCTCCTCCTCCCCCTCCTCTTCTTCCTCCTCCTCCAACTCCTCCTTCTCCTCCAAATCCTCCTTCCCCTCCTCCTCCTCCACGTCCTTCTTCTTCTCCTCCTCCTCCTCCTTCTCCTCCTCCTCCTCCTCCTCTTGCCTGCGTGCAGCCGAGGGTCGTGGAGTATGCCAGCAGATGGTCGCCATGCAGGGAAGAAGTTCTGAGGGAAACGGGTCCCCGCGTTCTTCGCCGCTTTCGGGCGGGGCCCTTCCCGGACCCCGGGGCCGTTAGGAAGCGATTCGGGACAAGAAGGTGGTACCGAGGGAAAGGCCGCGCGTGGTGCAGGGGCCTTTTCCCTCGGGCACCCCCGTGCTTCATGCCAGATGAGGGAGGGAGTGAGAAGGGGTAGGGTTAAGACGGGCCTGTCCTCCTACAGGGGGAATTTGGACGAAAAATAAAAAGTAGTCAACAACATACTCCAAAATGCCAAAACATAATAAACGATCGTCGCCATATTATCGTTTGACTATTTTTGAATATTCCTCCTGTGGAGGGACAGGCCCGACGTAAGGGTGGGGAAGAGTGCATTGGGGGGAAAATGAGGGGAGAGGAATGGAGCGGAACGGGAGGGCGGGGAAGGCCAGAGAGCTGGAGCGGGAGGGTGGAGGGGAGGCACGGGAACGGGGGAGGGCTCTCCAGTTGCCGCGGTTGGGCGGGGATCGAATGACAGCTGCAGTGCCTCCGCAGTTTCGCCTTTCTTCCGGGTCCGTCCCTGGCAGCGCCTCGTATCGCATTCGCGCGTGTGTATCGCATTGTTGCCCCTTCTCCTCATCCTCTTCCACCGCTTCCGTCCTGTTTCTCCTCCTCTTCCAATCATCGTCCTAGTGTTCATCCTCATCGTCATCCTCCCCTTGCTCCCCCTCCCTTCACCTTCTCCTTCGTCCATACGTCCCCTTCTCCCCCATCACTAGCGAAACATCAGCTTAGTATCATTCCCTTATTATCATTATCATCCCCCTTCTCTTCCTCCGTTTCTCATTCTCGTCCCCTGCTCGTTCTCCTACTCGGCATCGCCTGCTCATCCTGTCAATGTTGTTTGCACTGCTTTCGTCAAGCCAAGTGTTTCGCTCTGGTTCGTCCCGTTGCGTGGAGATGGGAGGGCCTAGCGTTCGATCGTGTTCCGCTTGCATCCGCGACTCTTCATTCCTCACCCAGCGTTGGGGTCACGCCTAGCGTTTGTGCGTGTACTCATCTACCTCTCGCTTCTCTTCGTCCCCAGACCCCTCGTCGCGAACCGCGAAGGAGGATCCACCCTCGCCGACTTCCCCCAGGATCGCACATATTACGGTAGCAGAAGGAACGAGCCGCGTATCGCGGTAGACGGAAGGGTGGTTTCGCCTGAGGGCGTCGCCAGACCCCTCGTCTTGAACCGCGAAGGAGGATCCACCCTCGTCGATTCCCACCCGGAATCGTAAAGCTTACGGTCATAGACGTAGCGGGCCACCTATCGCGATAGACGGCAGGTTGGCGTCGCATAAGGGGGGGCGAGGTGCCGACCGACCCGCGTGCCGCTGAGCTTCCCGTGCCGTTCCCCACGAAATCTATCGACTCCACCCCGCCCTCCCTTCGCGTCCTCCGCATCCGCCTCTCCGTGTCGCCCGGGGTTTGCGCATGGGGGTCTTGCACGCCAAAAACCTTCGGGGATGCACGATGGGGCTCGTGAGGTTTCCAAGGGCCTCCAAAGGTCTCTGGAGGCCCCACAGCACCCCAAAATGTAACAATGATGCGAAACTCGAGACTTGCGGATCGAGGAAGAGGAGGACCAGTGCAAACCCAGTATTCATCAACGATGTTGTAATAGGCCTTCCTTCCACACTTCCTCTTCATTGGCCTCTTACCATAGTGCATTTCCACTGAGGGAAGTGCCCCGTTGAAAGACAACCGTGTGAAGATCCTGAGCAGTGCCAGAGCAGCACTCCTGGTTTTTTCTCATCGCCACGAATCAACTGAATGGCTCGTCTTGACGATCCTCAACCGTGCCAGAACATCATTCCTGAGACTTCAACGCCGCGAATCCAAGTAACTGCTGCGCCCTGACAGTCTTACATCGCTCAGGGTCATCCGCTGTGATAGTCCTTGGGAATTGCTACAGAACCGTAAGACGAATTTGCGCAGCGACAAGGCGAGAGCCACATTTTGGAAAGGCACCGCCTTCCATTCGCGAAGCCCCTGCACGTGTTTAAGACGAATGTGAGCGGCGCTGAGGCGAGAGCCACATTTTGAAAACAACCCGCCCTCCATCCGTGAAGCTCTTGCCAAGTTCGAAGGAGACTATGCACAGCGCCAAGGCGAGAGCCTCCTTTCGAGAGTGGCCCGCTCTCCAGCGAAGGGTTTTTTTTTTTGTTTTAATTCCCAGCTGAAGAAATTATGCATGGCGAGGAGCTCTCAAGCGAACCGCCCAGACCGCCCTGCCAGCACGTCTCGTCGGGCCGAAAATGTCAAACATGTCACATCACATGCTCGAGCCTCGAGGATCGAAGATCGAGGAGGAGAAGTAGGACCCGTGCAGACCCAAGACGCATCAACGATTTTGCAGCAAACCCTCTCTCCAAGTTCCCTGTCCACAGGTCCCTGCAATAATGTATTTGTATCGCGGGAAAGGCCCCATATGGAAGACAATCTCCTGAAAATCCCCAGCCGTGCCAAAACATCGTTCTTGGGACTTCGACGCCGCGAATCAACGTGACCGCTGCGTCCTGCCAACCCTGAAACCGTGCCAGAACACCACTCCTGAGGCTGAAACACCGCGATTCCGCGTGACTGTTTCGTCCTGGCGGCCCGACATCATGTCAGAACACATGTATGAATCATGCGAGCCCTTACATGTGATACAAACATTGAAGACAAATGCGCGCGGCGCTGAGGCGATAGGCACGTTTTTAACATAGACCGTCTTCCACCCTTGAAGCTGCTACAAACTGTTAAACTCAATGTGCGCGGTGCAAAGGCGAGAGTTACACTTTGAAACACACTTGTTATCCATGTTTCGAAGTGCGGCAATTGTTCAAGACGAATGCGCTCGGCGCTAATGCGAGAGCCACATGCTGAAAGTGGATCGTCCTCCATGTTTGAAAGTGTTGCAAACGTGAAAGACGAATGTGCGTGGCGCTGTCGCGGGAGCCACACGTTGAAAGTGTGCCGCCCGCCATCGTTGAAATTGCTGAACCGTTGTCAAAGAAAATGCGCAGCGCTAAGGCGAGAACCACGTTTTGAGCACCACCCGCTCTCCATGCTTGAAACTCTTGCATACGTTTCAAAATGATGTGCGCGACGTTGAGGCGAGGGCCACGGATTGAAAAAGGACCGTCCTTCATGATAATAGCGATGCTGCAAACGTTTAAGACGAATGGGGACGGCGCTCCGGCGAGAGCTACATGTCGAACGCGAGCCGCCTTCCATATTTGACATTGTTTCAAGTCTCAATTTTCAGCACCATACGTCGAGAGGACGTCTCAGGCGAAACGCCCAGACCTCCCTACAAACACGATTGGGCTTGCGACAAGGGGGAGCTATCAATAGGGGCCAGGGAGGAGGGGCAGGAGGAGGAGCTCGTCCCCCGCCTCCATCATCATGGTCATCCTGGCTCGCGGAGTCCCTTATTTCAGCTTGTCGTCGTGGCATGCGTCGCGCAGTTTCCACGCACTCCGAGGACTGCTAGCTGCGCTCGCAGGCGCGCCTGATCATTATCCTCATCCTGACCCTCATCATTATCATATTCCTCCTCAGCAGCATCGTTCCTCCCGGAATCGCGATCATCGCACCATCATCATAACTTCATCGCATTATCCGTCTGTCACCTTTATCGTGCAATGTACATAGCCATCATCAGCGGCAACATCAGCCGCAACACCAGCAGGCCACCATCGTCATCGTACCATCGTAGTCGTGACTCATCGTCACCAGCATCATCATCAGCAGCGTCAGCATCATCACCATCATCATCATCATCATCATCATCATCATCATCAGCATCATCATCATCATCACCGCCTCCCCCCCAACCCTCCCTGTTGTCGCCCCCCCACCCCCTGCCGCACCGTGCCTCCTCCATCGCGCCCCGCACGCCGACAGATGTGACAGATGTGTTCTGCAGGGCGGGCGGGTAGGAACAACGCCCCGCCCTGGTGCAAGCAGAGCTGGTGCTACGTTGACCCGTGCTTGTGCAAAGAGAGAACGCCTCCGAAGGACGCGCGGGAGGAGGACGGACGCAGACCTATCGACCATTGGGGGAGAGGGAGGAGGGGAGGAGGAAGAGGGGAGAAGGAGTTGCGGAGCAGGAGGAGGCGAGAGGGCGAGAAGGCGGACAGGAGGTCGGGGAGGAAAAGGGGCAGGAGGCGAGGAAAGGGAGTATGGACGCATCCTCTCTCTCTCTCTCTCTTTCTCTCCTCGATCGGGGAGGGCGAGAGAGATCGAAGGCTGCGTGATAGGGGAGAGGGAGGGGCTTGCTTGGGGGGAGGGGGGAGGAAAGGGGGAGGGAAAGGGGGAGAGGGGAGACGAGCAAGCTAGATGCACTCGCGTCATCTTTGACGTCCTATCCATTCCTTCCATCTCTGCCCGTTGCGTTGATGTTTTTTTGACGCTCTTTTTATTCACAGACGCGTGTCGTAGCCGACCTGGAATTTCAAGAAGACCCCATCATGCCACGCGCAATTGGACAAGGGGGAGATTCTTACATAGTAGGAGGAGGAGGTGGCGGGCGAGCATGAGGATGAGCAGGAGGAAAAGGAAGAGGATGAGGAAGGAGGAGGGTGAGGACGAACAGCAGCAGCAGGAATTGTAGCAGGAGGAGCGGGACGAGCAGGAAGACCAAGGGAAGGCGGAGGAGGGGAAATGAGTTGGGCGACAACGATGGAAAAGTACCTGGATCCAGACAAGTGGCACGTGCTGAGGCGAGAGCGCCGACCCCACAATGAGGCCCACGCTGCAGCGGACGCACCAGTTTGACACCTCTAAGCCAGCTGTTGAAATCTTGTGTGTCGAAAGTACGCGGGGAGGGCCAGAGGTTTTCCGCACAGAGTCAGAGGAAGAGGAGAGTCGTATACAGACTATGTAATTGCAGAGGGCATGGGCAGGAGTCGAGGAGGGGGAGCAGGGTATTGGATGAGGGAGGGAGAGGAGAAGAAGATGGGGGAGAGGGGAAGCGCGAGGGAGAGGGGAGGGGATGGGCAGGGGGAGAGATAAAGAAGGGAGGATGTGTGGGAAGGGCATCGGGAGGGCCTGCGCCCTGTCTGACAACGCACTCTGCCCGTCCATGCCTTCCCCTTGCGCTTGATTACAAGATAAGATTTGACGGGGAACCATATGAGGAGGACGACAACGACGACGAGAACGAGTGGCTCGGTTCATGGCTGCTTCATAAGGGACAGCACTTGCCTCTAACTTACAAGGGTAGGGCCACCTGCACTCACACGCTTTCCTCTGGCGGCGAGGCGACGGCCTTGCTGCGAAGCGCCGAGCCGGGACACGGCCAGGCGAATTCTCACCTGTGTAGCAGAGGGTGGACTGGATGGTTGCACGCACGCAATCTCTCTCTCTCTCTCCCACACACACACACTTTGTTTCGTCGGTGGCTAGGCAGAGGGACTGCGCTGGCGATCAAAGCGAAACGGGGCGCGCTCAGCGAATTCAACCACCATGCAGGAGGGAGGGAGGGGACGAGTAGGCGCCGGCCAGGGGAGGGGACTAAGAGGAGCTTGGCCCGCTCAGAACACGCACACACACACACACACACACACGTTGTGGCGTCGCGGCCACGCGCACGGCAGCGCAGCGGAGTCGGGTTCAGCGCGCGCACACACACACGCACACACACACACTCAGACACGCATATACACACAATTGTTGGCGGAAGCCACGTCGCGCGCGGCGACGAGGCGGAGTCAGTGGCAGAAGTGAGTGCGGGAACGCGGCCGGGCCCTCAAGGATCGCCGTGGATCCTGTAGCACAGGTCGCCATACAGCACATCATGGCATGGATGGCAGTGAGGGGATACGCCAGCCGCGGGCCCTGCCCGATGCAGCGGCGCGAGCTGAGCAGGTGCGCCATACAGCACATCTGGGCGTAGATGGCAGGGAGGTGACACGCATACCGAAGGACTTGCCCGACAGCATGTAAGGCGGGCAGAGACGGTATCCATAGCGAATCTGGTGTGTCTGCAGAAGGAGGTTGCTCCAGAACAAAATGTGGGGACGCGACGTGTGCAGCGCAGAGGCTGCAAGAGACACACCACACGCACACACGAACCACATACACACATCACACACACACATCACACACAGATACACAGACACACATTCACACACATACGCAAACACACGCGCACACACACAAACACGCATACATACATACACACCTACACAACACACATTGGCTTTTCAGTCAGCGGCGCAGAGGGTCCTCGGGTGCGGGCAGCAGGTGTAAGTGATATTTCGGATCGAGCATCGTCGAAAGCGCGGTGAGAGAAAACGTCAATCACTGACGTGCAGGGATGGGTGATGGGTGGGAAGGACTGTATCCCAAAGAGCGTGCAGCGGCCAGAGATCCGGGGAATAGACACTTTTCAAGTCGGCGGCGCAGACGGTCCTCAAGCGCGGGCGGCAGAGCCACACATGCTCGCACACACGCACACACGCACGCACACACAGAGACATAGACACACACACACACACGCACGCACACACACACAGACACACACACACACACACTCACACGCACACACACACACACACGCACGCACGCACGGACTTACACGCACCCAGACCCACACACAGGCACAGACACACACCAAGGGAACGATTTTCGACACGATTGGAGGTGCCCAAAGCTGCAGGCAATTCTCTGTCACCCCAGGCCCCCTCCCTTACCTTCGTCCTGAGCGCTGGGGCCTTCTCCCGGTTAATCCTGCGTTGTTGTGGAATATCGTGAGAGTTTTCCACCTCTTTATCATGGTGGCTCACGGATCCCCTTTTACAGTTCTCAGCAAAGCTGCCCTCCTTGAGGCCATCGAGGATGTAGACTTCACACTTCCGGCCTACGCGTTCGCTGACGTCGCCCCCCGGGAGCACGAGTAACAGACACAGACACAGACACAGACACAGACGCAGACACAGACACACACACACAGACACAAACACAGACACACACACACACACATGCGCACGCACACGCACACGCACAGGCACAGGAACAGGCACAGGCACACGCACAAGCAAACGCTCACGCTCACGCACACGTACACGCACACGCACACGCACACACACAAACACACACACACACTTTGTGGCGGGAGCGGCCTCGCGCGCGGCGACGAGGCAGAGTCAGTTACTCAGTACGAGTCCAAAGCGCGGAGCCGCGGCCAGGCCTTCATCAATCGCTTTGGATCCCGCAGCACCGAATGCCATACAGCATATCCAGACGTGGATGGCAGTGGCACGCACACAACGCGTCGCAAGCGCAGCGGCGGATGCAGCAACGGTCAGGCTCTCGAACATTTCGTTAGCGCGGCACCTCAATTGTTTTGTGCGGCTTCGCTTCTGTCAGCGAGGTGGGTGCGATGCTCGTTGATATTCAAGAGTTGGCAACTAATATGATCACTTCGTGGTATCGATGGTATTCTGATGTAACCGCAGCGGGTTCTCAGATATCAGGGGTTCGGTCGGATTTGTCGTGCTCGTGTTTCACCCGCCCATGCTAACCCGATGCCTGATGCACGCACAAGCACCAGTGTCCGCCTAATCCGGTAATCGACGTGCCCGCCGCCTTTTCCTCCCCTATCCTCTTGCTCGTTCTCCGCCTCCGCCTCCACTTTCTGTTCCTTATTGCACTCCTTCTACTCCTCCGCCTTTCCTTCCGACCTCCCATGCTATAAGCCTCTCATCCTCCTCGTTCTCCATTTGTCCTTGTCATACTCCTCATAGTCCTCCAGATGCTCTACCTTCATTATCAGCATCCTCATCTGTATCATCCTCGCCTTGCTTTTCATCTTATCCCTCCGCCATCCCCCTCGTATGTTTCCTTCACGTCAGCCTCGCCATCCTGCTGCTCTTCCTGCTCGTTGTCCTCGTCCTTCTCATCATTGCGAACTGGCAGGCGGCGGCGGCGGGCAGCGGCGGCAGACACCTCCTGGGATGAGCATGCGTGGCCGACGGCCTCAGCTGAGCAAGAAGCCCTCGACTTGCTCCCCCTCTGCTGGCCACCATGGCTCTCCCCTCTCTCCTGCCTCCCGTTCCCTCGACTTGCTCCCCTTCTGCTGGCCGCCATGCTTCTCCGTTCTCCCCTGACTCCTGTTCCTTGTTTTACGGGCGCAGCCCGTAATTTGATTTTCGGGAAGTAGACTGACATAATTGAATTGAAGCGTCAACACCATTAGATGGCAGTTTGATTTCGGGGTGTGAGGATATTACGTTGGCAGCTTTTAGTCAGGGGGTTGAGGATATCTCGCTGGCAGTTTTAAGCAATGGGGTTCAGGATATCTCGGTGGCAGCTTTGAGTCAGGGGGTGAGGATATTTCGCTGGCAGTTTTAGGCCAGGAGGTGAGGATATTCTTTACGCTTCGCGTATCCCCACCAGCCCATCTCAAAACAGCAACTCTTGCGAAGCATGCCGACAGTCGTGTTTTTCAGGCGTGTGTCCGCTTGGCCCCGCATATCTCCCCTGTTTCTCCTTCCTCCCGCCTCCTTGTACATCCTCCTTGTGGGGGGAGCGGGAGAAGGACGAGGCGGAGGAGGAGGGAGAGAAAGCGCTCCTCGTGGTTTGAGTCGTTTGGGGTTTCTCGTCCTGGTGTGAGTCGTTCGGGCCCTTCTTCCTGGTGTGAGTCGTTCGGGCTCTTCGTGGTGTGAGTCGTTCGGGCTCTTCGTCCTGGTGTGAGTCGTTCGGGCTTCTCGTGGTGTGAGTTGTTCGGGCCCCTCGTCCTGGTGTGAGTCGTTCGGGCCCCTCCTCCTGGTGTGACTCGTTCGGGCTCCTCGTGGTGTGAGTCGTTCGGGGCCCCGTCGTGGTGTGAGTCGTTCGGGCTCCTCGTGGTGTGAGTCGTTCGGGCGCCTCGTCCTGGTGTGAGTCGTTCGGGCCCCTCCTTCTGGTGTGAGTCGTTCGGGCTCTTCGTGGTGTGAGTCGTTCGGGCCCCTCGTCCTGGTGTGAGTCGTTCGGGCTCCTCGTGGCGTGAGGCGTTCGGGCCCCTCGTCCTGGTGCAAGTCGTTCGGGCTCCTCTAGGAGCGTCTTGGGTGCCTTGGGGGCGCCTCTTCGGGCCTCTTGGGAGCCTCTTGGAGGCCGTTTGGGGCGTCTTGGGGGCCTCTTGGCGGCCCCAGGGGCTTCCAGGAGCGTCTTGGGTGCCTCGGGGGAGCCTCTTGGGGCCTCTTGGGGGCCTCTTGGGGGCATCTTGGGGGCCTCTTGGAGGCCTCTTGGGGCCTCTTGGGGCTCTTTGGGAGGGGTCTGGGAGGTATCTTGGGGCCATCTTTCGGGCGATCGATCACAGCTGGGGCGAGCATTTTTCTGCCTCCCCCCGTCGGGGCCAGAATCCTCGTGAGGGGTGTCGAATTTTAGCCCTCCCAGGAGTCGAAAACGACCCCTCCAACCACCCGCGGGGGGCCCAGGGGTAGGGGGTAGGGGGAGGGGTAAACCCCTCCCCGAAGGGGAAGAAGGGGGGTTGAGAACAGAGAGGGCTCTCTAAACCACTCACGCCCAAAGGGCTGGTGGGATTTCGCTGGCAGTTTTCAGCAAGAGGTGTGAGGATATTTCGCTGGCAGTTTTAAGTCAGGGGGTTGATGATACCTCGCTGGCGGTTTTAGGCCAGGGGGTGAGGATATATCGCAGGCAATTTTAAGCGAGGGGTGTGGGGTTCTTTCGCTGGCAATTTTAGGCCAGGGGATGAGATGATTTTGCCAGCAGTTTTCAGCGACGGGTGTGAGGATATTTCGCTGGCATTTGTAAGTCAGGGGGTTGATGATATCTCGCTGGCAGTTTTAGGCCACGGGGTGAGGATCTGTAGAAAGGCAATTTTAAGCGAGGTGTGTGTGTGTGTGTGTGAGGATATTTCGCTGGCAATTTTAACCCAGGGCGGTGGGGATATTTTCCAGCTGTAACCAATCAGCACCATGTGCCACGCACGGGCGGGTCAGGAGTTATCCGCGGATTCGTTGGTCTGGATTCGGGGCGTATCGTGCAGCCATAGCACTGGAATATGGTTCACGTTCGACATTGGGCTGAGGCTCAATTCGTTGGTCTGGGGTTCGAGGCGCATCCTGCAGCCACAGCGTTAGCATATGGATCACGTTCGACATTGGATGCAGTATTGGGTTTTCCCCTGCCTGGCCCAACCGAATGCATCGCATCCAGCGCGGTTCTGCGCCCGTATATGTGTTCGCCCCTTGGCGTGGGGCTGGCGAGGGGGCCAAGGGGCGAGCTGTCCGGTGTTTTCTTCTTTTGATTTCTCTCTCTCTCTCTCTCTCTTTTTCCATCCTTGCTCTTGCTTCCAGTCTTCCGCTCGACGACATGAGCACAACAAGTGTCGGAGGTCCCCGCGGATGTATTGAATCGGCGCTGGGCTCCCCATCCCCGGCACGCGAGGCGCGCCAGGGGGCGGCGCCGGAGGCATCGCCCCGGGGGGGGGGTCAGCGCCGACAGAAGAAATCCACGTGGACCTCGGACAGCTCATGCTTGTGCAGTTTTTCGTTCGTCGATCTCCGTTCCTCCATGTCCTTCCCTTCCCGATCTTTCGTTCGTCGATCTTTTGTTTGTCGATCTATCGTTCCTTCATGCTTATGCCCGTCGATATTTCGTTCGTTGATCTTCGTTCTTCCATGCTTATGGAGTTCTTCGTTCCTCCATGTTCCTTCCTTCTCCCTCCATCCTTGTGCCCCGCTTCGTCAGGAGTCCACGTACGTCGAGGAGGGGGTCTTTGGGGGGCGGCCGATGTACTACTCCTACACCGCCTGCAGGAGTGAGGAGCGACCCACCGCGGTCTTCTCTCGCGCGGCTTCCCTCGCGACTGCTTGCAAGAGGGAGAGGAGGAGGAGGAGGAGGAGGAGGAGGAGGAGGAGGAGGAGGAGGAGGAGAAGGAGGAGGAGGAGGAGAAAGAGGAGGGGGGGGGGAGGGGGAGGGGGAGGAGGAGGAGGAGGAGGAGAAAGATGAGGACCAGTGTAATCCCAGAACGCATGAACGATGTTTCACTAAACCCTCCCTCCAGGACTCCCTCTTTACAGGTCCGTGAAATAATGTGCTTTCATGGCGGGAAGTGGCCCATTCGAAGTGGAGGAGGAGCTGCTGCTGCGTCCTCGCCCTCCCTCTCTCCTCCTCTCTCCTTGTCCCTTTATTCTTGCTCCTCCTCGTGTTGCCCCGATTCTCGTTCTCCCCGTCCTTCAGGAAAGCCTCCCCCCTCTTGGCCGGTGATGCTGCCCATGGTTCCACCCCACCTCCCGCCCACCCGCCTGGACCAGCGACAGTCGACGGAAGCGGGAGAGGGGGCGAGCGCCAGTGCTTGCGCAGAACGGTCCGCATCCCGAAGGCCCGAAGGAAGAGCAGGAGGAGGACCACGACCTCTGAGGGCTCGTAAAGGTCGCGCCTGAGCTTCTTCATAAGTTTCGGCCTCCGGGGGCCGTTTTCGACTCTTTGAGGCCTGGAGCGGGGATCACGAGCCAGTCCCGGGGAACAAGGCGAGAGGTCCAGGGGAGGAAGCCGAGGCTTCTGAGGTTTGCGGAGGGGGGGGAGTTTTTTGGGGATGGCGAGCGGCTTCACCGGTGTTGTTGCCCCTCGTCTTATCTGATTTGCGCCAGGGCAGCGGAGGATGCGGATGATGATGGCCGCCACTCGATCCCGTTTGGGCCGCATCGGCGCGGACACAGGGGCGGTTACGAAATCCATTGTGTGCAGCTTATTTCTGCTTTGCTGCCAGGCACTTGCTAGATACATTGTCCCGCCGCCAGCGCTGGGAGGCACCGGGCAAACCAATTGCATGCCGCCGATTTCCTGATCACCTCCTTCTCGACCCTCCGATCGGATATGGGAGAGGAGGAGGAGGAGGAGGAGGAGGCGGAGCTTGGTCGACAGATGCTGCGTGATTATGGCAAGTGAGTGCGAAAGTATGCCGTGCCTGCTGCGTTTTCGAAAATCACGGGTCTGGCATTGTGGATCCAGTGCCAGCGCTTGACCAACATAGATGTTGTTTTGTGTACTTGATCGGTTTGAATGGTCACGTTCTCTGTGCCAATGAGTGTTTTGTAGGTCTGATTCTTCGTTTTACAGCACGGCGGTGGTTGTGGGTGACCTCGGTAATGTCGCCATTGATATGGCTGTCACAAAGGGATTATGCTGATTGGCGTCCTGACGGGAGGAAGTTGCATGGTAATCCCTTGCCGAGCCTTCGGCATTTCACCCATGTTCTTCCAGATTGCGCTCTGTCGTGTATGCGAAGTTGCGCGCGTGACGCTGAGGAGTTAGTGACCACGGTGAGGACGTGTCATTTTGTGTTGGCTGGCGGTCGTGCTGTGCGTCACGATGATGTGTTGATGGTGTCCTGGTGCGTCGATGATAATGTTGGTGATAATCGGTTGTTGCTGTTGTTGGTGGTGGTGGTGTTGTGTTGTTGATGCCTCATTCGTGCCGTGGTGTCACTATGCCCACTTCAGTGTTAATGGAGTCCAATGGTGACCCGTTGGTTTGCGGATGATAGTAGTGTTGTCTCGGTGACTTCTCGATGGTGCTCAGATGGCTTCCTGGTCAACTGCGAGTTGAACCCAGAACCAAATCAAGTCTGCACCATATTTTCTGTGCATGCACACCAGGGCCCAAAAGCGTGAGGTGTTCCAGTTCTTGTCATGCAAGGGGTTGAAACTTTAAGGGCCGCCCTTTGGGAGATGTTATAGTATCGGGAGCATAGCTCGCGCGCCGTTGCCTTTGGCTCAAGGCACGCGCGCCCTATTTGCCCGGATGCCTGATGGCATTCGCTATTTGCACGGACATCTTACCTTAGTGTCCGCCATGTGCTGGAAAGACCGATACATCGATCTTATCCTATCATACCCATCCTCTCCCCATATTTGTGTTCCTGCGACATGGAAGTGGATGCTATGTGAGCTCATCCGCATCCCATGGTGACGGATGCTATTTGACCTGCCAGGCTCACTTTCGACTTGGTAGCGGAGCTGGCCGCACCCTCGTGTGGTCAGCTCTTGCTCTTCTCATCCTCGTACTCTTCGGCACGATTTTCGTGACCACCGACCACCCTGCGCTACCACTCCCAGTACGTTTACGAGGATTTATCAAAGAACAAGAAGCAACACGAGAGGTACGACGTCTAGACAACAACATTGGTACCATATACGCTTCATCATTGCGCTACTACCAACCGCTCGGCAACGAGCCAAAAGCGCAATACTTGAAACATGGGCGGAGAAATCCGCCAGATAGAGCGCCTCGACGACTCGACAAGGCGCTATTCCAGCGCGGCAACGCGCCTAATAACCACCCCTACCTACATAGCCTTGGGCTGGTTATCTTCGCTATCATATGGTTCGCGCTGGGGGCAGCAATCGGACACATGCGCCGCGGAGAAAACAGCACCGATGGGCAAACACATGGCCCATACTGGGGCCCTCAAGGCAACGTACCGTTCCGTGAGTACGTTTATGAGGTCAACGCGTGGCTCAACGTCACTAGCGGACGTATGGCGCCACAGGCCCAAGCGGCCGCCATACAACGCGGCCTAGGTGGCCTAGCGAGGACACTCGCCATGAGGGTACCACCTGACATTATAAACTATGGTGCTGACATCGATGGGGTCCACACAGACCCAGTGACCTACATCATGTTCCTGCTAAGCATGAAGTTCGAGCGCCTGGAAGATGAGCGTCAGCTCACTTCCGGCACACAGCTCATCGACTTTCATGTGCCTCACGGAGAACGAATCGATGTCACTCTAACCCGATTCGAAATGGCCCGACTTGAGGCACAGTCGGTGGGACTCGACCTTCCCAACTTCCAGTTACCAACCACGGTCCTGTTCCGCGCCTTAGGCGTCGGCAACCAGCGAGCCATGCAACTCTTACAGCCACTCAATCATCAAATGCCCCGAACTCAACAACAGTACGATGAGTTGCTGGAGAGGATGCGTTCGATAGGCCACCTATCAGAGCGATCTCCTGGTAATATAGGATCTGTGTTTGGAAGAGGAAGGGGATCTGGTAGTGGAAATTTCTACACTACCTTAACCACTGAAGCCCAGCCTGGAAACGGGCCCTCAAGTATACGGGCCGATGATCACGGATAATATACTGCGTCATTAGCAGGGGATCGACAACAACCAAGCTGGGCGACCAGCCCTCCTTCCAGAGAACCTCAACCACACCGTTCTCTGTGGGGTGAATCAAACCCCCTTACCGACGGTGTGTCCACCTACTGAGGAGACGATGATTTCGACTCCGGCACCGACACTGATACTGCATCATCCGACGGTGTTGAAGCTTTAGACTGGTCAGATATTATGAATATGGAAACTGACAATCAGCGTGCTGAACACCTATTTGGGTTATTACAACAGGCTAAACGGAGGTGGAGGAGGTTCACACGAAAACCAGTGCGACGTGTTAGGAGGAGGATACGGAGGAGTTTCAAAGGAAAAGGTAAAGGCAAGCGGGGTCGTCGGAGGTTGAACGGACGAGGCATCACGGCATTCCTCCAGAGGCTCTCGGATGAACAGTATGATGAGATATTCTTCGGGGGAAAGGGCCGCGGCAAAGGCCGTAGGGGGACCTCAGGAAAAAGGCAAAGGTAGGCGGGGAAACCCGCGAGGTAAAGACGGCCAAGTTCTAAAGTGCCATGAGTGTGATAGTACCGACCATATTGTGAGAGATTGTCCAACGAAGGGAAATGGAAAGGGCAGATCGACCGAAGTCCATTTTGGCTCAAGTGAACCATTCATCGAATATCTGAGCCTCCAGGATTTTGAGGCCATGGAACATATATTTTACACTTGGGTCAGTGGCATGGACAACGTCGACGAGCTCGAGGCGTATGGTCATGGATTGTACGCGTACTACCTCGAGTACGTCCGCAGGTTCGTTGATGGTAACAACGAGCTCACTCCCGTGGATCACGGCACGCTGGGAAACCAGCCTTTGTCTTTCTTCGACTGGATGTTCGGGAACCCAGGCAACATCATGGCCTACGAAAGCAGTGACGAGGACATCACTGTTAAGGCCTCGCCTTCCGAGGTTGAACGCAACCTCCAACCTCCACCTGAACTCCCGCCTGGAAACAGGCCAACCGATCCCCGAAATAATGGGGAACTTATAGAAATGGAGTCTCAAGCGTTCGTTCAAGTTTTCATTGCAGGTGAATCAGAGATCCCATTTGTACCCCCTGGTTCGCTTGCTCCAGGCGAGTACGGACAACGTACACTGCTGCAAACCCTCATGAGGATGCATGAGGTACTTACCATCGCATATCCCGAGAGTCAAGAAAGCATCGAAGCTGGCATCATGATGCTGCAGGACACCGCGCCTGCGACGACTCGGAGTTAGTGTTGGCAGTTTTGACCCTCATCGACAGCGTGCACCCTGAGGACGTGCAGAGACATGTGATATACTCCCGAGGGAGATGGCGTGATGCTCTTGAAAGGGCCATCGCCATGCGCGGTCAGGCTCTTCCTCCGCCAGGATGGGGTCTCCAGGCGGTGGGACCATGGCCAAAAAACACAGCCATGCGCAACATTGCTGGGCAGCCTGTGCTCGGCAACGAGCCTGGACCGACAGCCGTGCCGCCTACCCCGGGACAGCCGAGCGACGCACAGATGCCGGCTATGCAGGGAAACCTGCCTGTCCCGGCTGCGCCAATGGCCATCATCATTGGTAGTTCTACATCAGAAGAAGAAGAAGGCGATGGTTGCGGGCTAGACGAGGATGAAGTCACAATCCTCATGATGGAAGTCAATGGTGAGGTAGAGGTTGACT